TGGTGAAGACTCGAGTGAAGAATGAAATGCGAATGCAGTACGATGAACTTCTGGCCGGGGATCCCCAGAAGCTCATAACGCAAATGGAATGGGTTGCAGTTTCTGAAACGCATTGTCAGAACAGCAACCAGTGAGATCAGTGTTGTGGGATGTCGTAATGCGCTTCGACACATCCGTGTACATTTTCCTGATTATTTGCCAAAATCTGACGTGCTTCGGGTAAATTTACGTCTCATCACTTAAGACATCTGGTTGTATAGTATATATCACCAGGAGCGGGTAGGGACACGAGGAAATTCAAAGTCTCGGTCACGAATGTCTGACGAAGTACTCTGTCGAGCACCAGAAGACACGTTGACCACGATGGATTGAAAGACATCTATTCAGTCGTACGCTTATGTTCCGGCCGTTCATTGCTCGCAGACCAATGGTGAACCAGCGTTTCGGACGTGAGGGGGGGGGGGGCACAGTAGATCGTGGCACCGCCCCTGTCCTTGGACTCGAGGTTCATTCACTAGTCTCATCTACTCAATGGACAGCGCATTCACTTCACTTGGCTTACGCATCAAACCCTAGCACCTGTCCAAAGAGAACACACTTGAGGTCACAGGATTGGCTCAGAGCAATTGGCGAATGGCGCAAGGTTTTGCAAAAGTTTGCATTTGCTTTGCAAAATGTCGCACATTCCTTACAATATTCGGGACTTTTTATCCAACTTCGCGGGAAATGCCATAGATTAGATAAGCAACGGGATTGCCGACAATAAGAGCAAAGGTATTCTGCATTCTCCTTCCACAATTCTAGGTTAAACTGGAAGAGTTCAACATACGGCCCTTTTGGTTCGTAGGATCAACCCCTGTAGAGCTGGTAAGAATGACTCCACTTTCGTTGTTACAGGCTGAAATGACTCACTGTGACCGACCTAACTCCGCTCAAAGTTTCTGCACACACCCGGCTGAACACCTCGGCATTACAAGTCGCCAGAGTTAAAACATGCACTTGGAACACTCGCAGCATCAAATGTGTTGGGCCGTCAAAGTACCTCTGGATGAGTCTACAGGAGAATCATAGCACTATTCTCGTGTGATTTATGTGCCCCACACTCCCCTAGCAGGTCTACAACACAAACGACTGAGGTCAGAAGGCAACTAGGTGAGGATTCGTCAGTGGCGTGCACCTCCTGGATCTAATCCCATGACCTTGCTAGTCCGCGGCTGATGCCACTGAGCCATGAGTGACGCAGCAGAGTGTCATGACTGGTTTCTAACTGTGAGAAAGCGCGGTTCATCCTCCATTGTCACGCATGTTTTGAATATGCAGAGGATAGGGTTGGCCCCTAGAGCAACGATTTCCTTTGCAAGCCGCTGCCAATCGAGGTGGCATCTAGGACGCTAAAGCGATTACTGGTCATCAGTATGTAAGGTCACGGGTTCGAATCTAACAGGATCCGGCGGTACGCAACATTTAGGAGCACCCATGGGATGGAGCGACAGTCTAGCGTTTTCCTGTATATATGCGATCTGGATGCCTGAGTCTATCTGCGACGGATCTCCACAAAAACAGCTCTGAGCTCTCAACGTATATTTGGGCTAGTCTACAGGAGAATTATTGCACCACTCACTCCTGATTTAGGCATGCTAAGACGGCAAAAGTTGAGTGCCCGTTCGCGTTCCTCCTAGCATAAGGGTAGAAGCATTTGAACCAACGTCCATTTGAAATCAGTGGCAAATCGACGGACGTACTGTTTACCTTTTGACGCGTTTATTTTTTGATTTCCTCTTTGCTGTTGTGGACACACTGAGCAACATACTAACCATGGCATTTCTTACATAAACTGTTATTCCAATAGAACATGATTATTCGCAAAACACTGAACTATAGTTTTTTATGCTGGTCCGAAGGTCCTTGTTGAACCGATAGACCACAGCAATTGTCCATTTGGTATGTTCTGCTGTACTCAACGTTAATGTCATTCCAGGGGAACTCCAATTGGGCAAGTTGTCCCTCTAGCGGGAGCAGTACTAGGCGGAAGGACGAATTTTATTCCTGCCTACATCTAACTATGGTCAACTTAGCTAACTTGTTAGACCCGTGACCACACGAAGTTCAAATCAGTTTAACAAAGGAATCGTCGGACACAGTCAACATTTTGTTCCGTGGCCTAGCTGCGACCAGGTGCACTCCCCTCTATTCATCAATGCTTTGTGTCCAAATGATGCGTTATCGGGTGTTCACAGCATGCCATACACATCGCCTAATTTGCTGAGCTGCATCCCACGCTCCCCAGTCATATGCCTACCGGATGACTGCTCACACGTGGTGCACAAATCAAACGGGACAGTCGCTTGTGCAGGTTCCACCACCATTATCAAAGCGACCCAGAAACGATAACGTTGAGTTCATGCCACCTGATTACACAGGTTGGCGTCTGTTTGAGAATCCCCTGAATGACCTGTCGCGTGTAACCATTGCAAATGCTTTTTGGCTGCATACAATGCGCAGCTGCGTGTATCTTGCTGTGGCTAGGACAGATAAGCTAGCTGTCACTTTGATTGGGGGTGGAATGTGGCGGTGACCGGATAACCCGATTTCACCCCCTTTCGTTTCCCCTGAAATTTAATCGGTCAATGTAACGTGCAAGTGTTCAATCCTCTGTCAAGATTGATTTTCTTTGCATCCCGATGGACGAATAAGGAAACGCTTTAGTGACTATGGTGTGGGGGCGGGTCAGCCGCCCAAAAAACGAATGTGGTATGGAATGACGGTATTAATGAGGTAACCTGTCGTCCCTTAACGGGTTCCGTAGCACTTGTTGCCATGGCTGCAACAGCTGATTCTACCTAGTTCACAGAGAGGGTGTATGGTATCGGTGACGGTTAGTCGAATGCGTTATTTCCGACGTTTCATTACGCAGCCAAGTAGAAAAGGAGACCAATGTGGAACATGTGCCGCATCGTCCGTGCAACGAGGGTAAACTTCAACTGCGTGTGTGCTGCGTGTTCAAAAGTTATTCTTCCTAATATGACAAGTCTGAGCTGGTTGGATGAGAGTGTTGACATGGCGCATAAACAGCTGATGCCACCACCTATGTCAATATCTCCTGAAGTTCCTTGCAGACGTTGAATTGGGAAATAGGAATACAGCTCTGCCGTCACAGCTCTGGACTCAAAGCGTGGTTCCATCCTGGCACGGGTAATCGTCCGGGAAACACACCACGGTTGTTTGGCCGGTATATCTACCCCAGGAGAAGATCACTGATTTGCCGGTGAAACCATCTTGGCGCTGCTGCGAATGAAGCCTGGCTCTCATCCGTCGCATACCTCGCAGCCTTGCTGCTTCGGATTCACGCCGTCTATGGCTGAGCGTGCGCTCCGCACAGGCTGGAGCTGTCAATATCCTTGTTGTAAGTGCCGGTGTCCTATGAGCGTCCGCGGTCACAGCAACCGTCTGCATGATCTCTTCAAGAAATGAAGCGATAGGCGTCGCGAACACCATCTGTCGCACAATAGGTTAGTATGTGATTTGCGTATACTACGATTGAAGCGCCGGTCACCATATTCCACTTCCCATATTTTGGATGCGCCGAAATCGGTGCATCGAGTAAACAAACTTTGGCACATTTCGGTAGATAATTCGAAATCGGCTTGGGGTCATCCGATGCAGCAGCTCCTGCTTTATGATTATATGCTTATATTAGAAAGCGAAAATGGAAGTAGTTTTTGACTGATTGTCCTATAGAAATCGAGGGAGGAGTGACCACATGAAAGAAGTTGCGTATTTGCGCTGCAGATAGCGCTGCATTTCAAAATGAAGTGATTGTAAATCGTATGCTTGTTGTCGGTTACACAGAACCCTACCGATTCTACACTGCTTGCACTTATGGGTCCATCAGGTGCCGGTAGCCAATCTGCATCAGAGGTGTCACACTCCCACCCCGATGACATTCTCCTTGTTACCAACTGTCCACTATCGATGCCATCTGGTGGTGCAACCGGATATGTAAGAAGAGGCACCCATCTCCCCGTAGGCTCTTCCGAGGGCTAACAATTCCGGAGCACGGGCATTACAGCCGCATGTACACATGTGACACTTTGTGTGCATCGGTAATTGCTTACAAACGTTTCATATGCAGCGCCAATTACAATTGGCAAACTGCCACGGTCTGAGCGGTTGGGTCCTGTGAAAACAGGATAAAATAGCTGGTCACCAGAGAACTTGACAAATGAAACCTATTAGCAGCTCACCACGCTTACGACGCACGCTGGGCTCCAATCGCACTTGCGTCCACCATGGTGGTTTCCGGTCGGCGTAATTAGCGGACTGTGGGGATTAAAAGAAAGACGGTAACACTCATCTCGTGCTGATATATGTCGTAAGGATATAGCACGTACAAAGAGAAGGTTGCTGTAGGCGCACATGTTCAATTCATGGTCCGTTCGCCTTCACGCACCTTTATTCACACACAAGTCACGTGTATTGACCGACTGACTGTGACTCATGATAACCGGTCACAAGTATGTTTCGTCAAGTGATCGCAGTCTGTCAATAACGCTTGTTGCTGAGCCGAGAAGGAAGGCCATTGTAAAGCATCATTTGACCAAATTCTATCACCAGTGAGAAGGAAGCACACGGCGATATGCACAGAATTGGGTGTCTCACCAGAACGAAGATATCACTGGGCTAGTCATCGGACACTGGTTGGTTTTCCGACCCGTTAGGAATGGGGACAATTAATCGAAAGTGACCGGTTTATTCCCCAAACTTGACGACCTACTGAGAAGACCTTAAGTGCTTAGTTCACGTGAGGACGTTAATACAGTTATTTCCCCGTTGCTAGGTGGCACAGTGTATTGAGCACTGTCGCATACCGAAATTCCATATTCTCATCCGCTTCACTGTAGTAACATGAACTTATCTATTACCATGTCAGACGGTGCAACTAGACCATCCACGGATACTTTTATGGTGGTGGTTTTCTGCAAAGAATTTTCGTACATGGCATGAATGTTGACAAGTTTCCTGATGGTCCGATGTCGTCGCCTCGACCACTAGTGACCCAAGATGCTCGTGAACTGGTGTCACGAGAGAATGGGTTCTACGTGTTTATGATCTATGTTGTGTCGCCTATCACCACCTTCTCTCCTCCTAGGTGGACGGACTTTAGTGGACCCATTCTACAGGCCTCGCGAATGGTCGCAGGCACTACCATTCAGGAAGAGGAAGTGGAAGCCGATGATCATCAAATTCAACCTAACCCACCAAACCAGGCAAAACCCATAACACCAGCCGACCCGACCAATAGGACCCGACCTTTATCATTTACCGTGTCCTTCAGCTTGGAAAACCATTTGAACCCGAGCCTTGCTGCTGCTGTTGCGATGGTTTCCGATGAGACTGGCACCTCAGCTGCCGAGCTGATGGCTGGATTGGTGGAAGTGCGCCGCCGTCCAGTGGACACTAGAAGTCGCTTGCGTCGTCTTGGGCAAGACCCTGTCTGTAGACTACCTTGTGGCACCTCTGATTCAGGTGGCGAGACTGATGGCCTTCCTGGCAGGTCGTTAAACCGCCTCTCCTTGCCGGCCAATATCAATCTACCACCACATTTGTGGCGGAGAGCCACTCAATTTTTGGAGGGACCTATGTCTAGAAGAGAACGACGCTGTTCTTTGTCAGAAATCGGATTCGGCAAACTGGAATCATACGCCAAATTAGATATGTTAGGACAAGGAACATACGCAACGGTATATAAAGGTCGAAGCCTGCTTACCGTAACTCTGGTGGCCCTCAAGGAGATCCGTTTGGAGCACGAAGAGGGAGTTCCATGCACTGCAATCCGTGAAGTTGGCCAGTTACGAAACCTCCAACACGCCAACATTGTCATGCTGCACGATATCCTCCACACGGAAAAGTCTCTGACTTTGGTATTTGAATATGTGGAGCGGGATCTCAAACAATACCTACACGATTGCCATGGAATCGTTCACCCAGACAACGCGCAGCTCTTCCTTTATCAACTCCTACGGGACTTGAATACTGTCATCGGCGTCGCATCCTACATCGTGATTTGAAACCACAAAATCTGCTCATCACGGACCGTGGCGAACTGAAATTGGCCGATTCTGGGCTGGCACGGGTGAAATTGATCCCAATCAAGACGTACTCCAACGAAGTGGTGACGTTGTGGTACAGACCGCCCGACATACTGCTTAGTTCTACTGAATACTCCACGCACATCGATATGTGGGATGCCGGTTGTATTTGCTATGAAATGGCCACCGGATGGCCCTTGTTTCCTGGTTCCACGATCGAGGAAGAGTTGACGTTGACCTTCAAGCGGCTAGGGAAACCCACGGAAGAGACCTGGCCAGGGATAACAGATCACCCCGATTATAGCAAAGCTCTAAAATACGGTCCTTATCCTGGGGAACCAAACGGATTGCTCCATGCGGCACCTCGCCTTTCACGCCGAGCGCATACTCTCTTGTCCAGTCTACTGGTGTTTCAAGGATCTCGACGCATTTCTGCCGCGGACGCTCTGAAGCACAGCTATTTTAGCGATTCCATGCGCTTAACCGTGCAAGCGCTTTCCGAATTACCTCCTGCAGCTAGCATATTCGAAATTCCTTCCGTTCGACTTGTCCCCGATCCCGGACGAAGTGCAGGGTTTTTAATCTCCGGCCAACTGAGCGGAAGAAACTGCGTGCAAATGAATGGGTTCAACGGCAACTCGAAGCTAAAGTATCCTCACGACAAACTGTATTGATCCACCACATATGAACCGGTGAACACAACAGTCGGCAGATCCGCCACCTTTGAAACAGGACATGTGAATGTGCCACACAGAGAGTTGAACGGAAAATCGAATCAACCCCACGGCTACGGTGCTCAACATCACTTTTATCCCAAGTATCAACTGACGGCCGCAATCCCACCTCCGTCGCCAGAAAATCTGTTGTGTCGCCGCTGACGCCTTCACCCCACGACCGCAAGAAGAAGTCCAAGATGAGCCAGAAGGAGACTTGTATACATGAAATCACAGTTGCTTATATAGTTTGAATGAAAAATGAAGGGAAGCTACTAAAGTACACTTGAGCCAACCAACTGACGGAAACATGTCAAATGCAACGGCGAATAAGCAAACGTGTACTCAAGAGCGTATCGCGTAGGTCCTTAAGTATAGCATCATGGGACCAAGCGTAAAGTGAACGACTATTTACAGTGACGGGCACTGGCCAATCAGAATGACGAAATGAAACGTTTAAACAAAAGTCACGAACCAAACGAGAATAAGGAATGCAGACCCAAAAGCTGAAAACTAGTACAAGAATTGTGTGACAACTAAACATTCCCTTAACATAACCAAGTAGAACAGTGATGAGAAGAAAAAACCAATAGAATATGTTCTTGCAAATGGCGCTGCTGAGAAGGGCATGACGTTGAGCGTCCATTAATAATGACGTGGATGTACCAATCGGGCTAACCCAGTGGAGCGTTTAAACAACAGTCAAGAAATAGAAAGGAGGAAGAGAAAAGAATAGCTATCAAGCTCGTTCACAATAAATGAATGTCTAATAGCTGTTCTCCTAGTAATCTAGTTGCTAAATCCGAATGATTTAACCTTGGAAGGATCTGTGGTACAGCTATCAGTCCATACTTTCCCAAATTCTGTCTCAGCGTTGTGTGCACATAACAGGTAAGTATGAGCTCCGAATCCGTCAGGACTTCTAACAACGGCTGTATCAGGTGCAGAAGCAGCAGAAGTGGCGGCCGCAACAACAGAGCCGTAAGAGGCAGAAAGGGAGCTTGAGAAGCCCTTTCACCTTGTATTCGAACCAGTCAAACGGTACTGCCTTTCCTGCTATATAGACAGGCTGTACCGATCGTCACTGTAAACCGGTCAAACTCAGCCACCACAACAACCACATTCTGCTGTTACAGAGAATAACATTTTGTGCGTGGAGCCATATTTTGTAGCCTACGATACAGCCGTGTCTGCATCCACTGAACTCAATGAAATGAGTGAGGCGTGTTGAGTTCATTCCGTTTGCCTCTTCACAAATACACAGCAGTGCGAGTCCAACATAACGAAGTGAAATTCCGAGGATCTACGTACGGCTAGCCGATGTGTATGCATCCTTCATTTGGTGTGTACCACACCACCCGCTTGATGAATAACTGCACCCGACTGATGTACACCACATTCGAGCCTTGGTGTTAGAAGTGAGTGGAGGGACAGTTGGAAATTGCAAATTTGGCAAGATGACGGTTAGCACGTCCCTCTCATAAGCGGTTCTGAATCAAAATTAGCCTCAGCTCTTGACCTCTTTGCTGTGCTGCCAACTATAGGTGTTACGGCCTCGTATTTTGCAAACAGGAAGGCCCAACAACTACTGCAGTCACTCACTTACCGTGCTGGCATTCGATTAATGCAAGTCCGTTGTTCGTGGCCGCGCACCTTGCGTCGGGTATAATAGTTTACACACTTGATTAACCCCGGTGGTACGCAGATTTTCGAAATTTCCCCTGTCAGGACGGATGGCTTCACCTTGCTAGTCAGCAGTAGCGATCACGCAAGCTGTGCGGCGATTATTTTTATTACTATCTGCCCTGATCAGGCCAAGTATGATCACGCATATTCCGGTGACGCTGTTCCTTCGTTTCTGAAAGCGCACGCAGGCCAGACTCGCACCGCACGTCATACTGTTTCCCCTTTATCTGTCACTAATCCGACCAACACCGTAGCGCGATACCACAACACAGGGATGAGTCATTCAAGTTAGCGGATCTGGCGTCAAATGCTAACACACGTAAATGGCTTTGATGGAGATAAATCAGGCGCCAGACCCGATTGCATTAGGATGGACGATGGTGCACTTGACTGACAGGAATTCACTGAAAGTGTGACGGGAGAGTATGATCGGGCTTGCACCCCGTGACCCGTATGTGCATGTGAACCCGCTTATCAAACTAGCCCAAATTATGTTGGTGCTCTGCGTGGTCATATATTCTTCGGTGTGGGTATTTGTGTTCTGTGTTTTGGTGAGAGTATCAAAAAGTTGGGACGATTACTAATCAGAGGGTTGTTATTTTCGCAAGTCAAGATGTCCGACTGACAATATGTGCTATGTCCCAAAGGGGTGGTGGTTTTTCCATCCGGCCTTGTCCACACCTCTCACTGGCAAGTGAGAATGCCACGAAGAAGCAGCAAAAGTTCCAGTCCACCTTTCGGGGTGGAGATTGAAAGTGTGTAATTCGGACGTAGTGTAAGGAACGCAATCGTAGTTCATGCCGCCAAGACACGGTCTTTACGTTGACTTGGTTTAAAAACGTCGAACAGTTGACAACAGGCGGATAATCAGAGATCACAAGCTGTGCAGAATGCATAATCTTACACAAAGCGGCATTACATGGCGTTGATCGTGCACCTCATGTATCCTTGGGGTCAAACTTTGATCATACCATAGTGCTCACTCAAGGGATTCAGTGGTCCGAATCTTGAAGGCCCATCGACGCGGGCGAAGTAATCACTTTTAGCATACGAGAATGCTGCCTCTTTTGGAGACGTCTCGATATTATGGTACGCGAAGCAGTCTGAGGTGACTGGATATTGGTTACCGAAAGTGGAGAAATGCACTGTATGCTGGATATACCATAGGTTTGTATTCGACTAATATAATTACTGCTCTTAGAATCGGTAATAAAGAGCGAATATATATTGGTTCTGTGTATCTTTTATGCATGGCTGATATGGTGTAGACAATAAATTTTGAAATGCACGTTCGATGTACGAACTACGACTCGCGGTCTCATATTTTCTGGAAATTGATTTTGGAATGGACCTGGGCAGTTCAGACAATATTGTGATCATGGTAACCAAAGTATAGGCCTTTCCTGCATCCAACGCTACAATTCACTACCCTATTCGACTTCGGTTGAACACCTCGTGTGGGGATAGGTGATACGAGTCTGATACCCAGGGGGAAGCGTACTAATCTAGATCAGTGGTTCTCAACCATTTTCAGACTTACCTACAAAGCTGGTTTACTATAAACAATTCCCCCTCAAACACTTCTAGGTTGAAAAGCTGGCTACCCATTAACTATTAGGTTTTTTGATATACTCATGAGTAAGGGATTTTTGATGTAATTAAGGGGGGTTCATTGCAGCCAGTTTCCAAATCAGATAGTCGTCCATATGCCCGGAAAAGCACAACGATATAGCGCTATATCGCTGTTAGCTTATACACCATGGCGATCCGAAGCTGTCCCCCGTTGCCCAGTGGCATAAACTGCTGACTGGCGGTTCAAGCCGCTGGTGGTCATGGGTTCGAATCCTGATGGATCCGATAGATGTGCACTACTGACGATACCCAATAGGCTGAAACTGCAGTCTATCGCTTTTCCGGGCATGTGGACGACCATCTGATTTGGAAACTGGCTGCGATAACCTCCCTTAATTATTAGGTTTTTCGCCTTAACTTGTGGAAAATAAATATTATTTTTATTTACTTTCGATCGTACATTTGATCAGTCGATCATTCATTGAGAAAGTTTTAAGTAATCCTGAAGTGCTTTACGTTGATGAGACGGTTGCTATTGCTTACTTCCAACGATTTCTGATGTACTTGGCGCGGTTTCGACTAATGCGCATCGGGCTTTGGTGTGTTATTCCTGCTCAGATAGGAACAGATGTCAATGACTTATCATTTCTTGCAGTCATCCCTCCCAAGTCTGTCCTGGATGACAGCTTCCCAGCGCCACTCTGTATCGTTAAGTCATGAACACAAATCATCTGTTTTGTCCCTTCTACTTTGTAAACATTCACTCACTTTTTCACCTTCTCTACTGACCTATGCTCCCAACTTAGCGTTCAGAGAACTTTGACCCGGCGAACGACTGCCCGGGTCAAAAGAGCAACGATAGGCAAGCGAGCCGATAGATTGTAAGTGAGAAAGCGGACAAGCAAAGGACACAGCTGTAATGTGTACACACTATTAAGTCACTGGTATCACAGATATCACAGACATTAATTCACACACATGAGTCACGTGCATCGCCAGACAGACCGTGGCTCGTGATAACCAATTACGACAGTCCTCCATAGCTAGATTAAGAGTATCCAACTTGATAGTGTTCTACGCTGCGCTTCTCACGAAGTGATCGCCATGACTGTATAGGTTTCTCAGTGTGGTCTTCATTTGACGATGCTTCTGCTGCCATTCTCAGAGGTGCAGGTGATGATCAATTTACTGTTTCCTCTTCTGGGCCCACAGGCTGTCGTCGCACTTGGTCCAAATGACGTTGAAATATTCGCCCGTCTTTAAATTCCACTTCCACTGTACTGCCTCTTATCGATCTTGCAATCTCTCAGATCCAAGAGTTATCCGTTGGTCTCAGTTTAACATACACTCTGTTACCTGCCTCAACCACACGATCGTTGGTTTTCATGTCGTGGCGCTGGTTCAACACAGACTGGCTTTCGATGTAGATTGGATTTACTCACATCCAACAGAGTGCGCAGACGTCGTCCAATCGGAAGTTCACACGGTGGATGATCCATAATGCAGTATTGTAATGGGAATTTATCCAGGCAGATTTGTAAGGTTCCGGACTGTTGCTTGGCCGCACACATTTTGATTGTCGCAACCGCTCTCTCTGCCAGACCATTAGACGAAGGGTCATATGGTGCCGACAGAACATGCTTGATTCCATTTTGAGGTAGGAATTGTGCAACCTCGTCGCTGGTAAATGTCGGGCCGTTATC